CTTTATATAAAATTTATTTAAAATAATATATTTTTATGCATATTTGAATAACTACAAAACAGATGTATTCGATGAAAAATCGATTTAAGATAAAAATATTAATGTGAAAAAAAACGCTATAGTTGTATAGTACTACAACCAAAAGTAATGATATTTTTTGTCTATTAATACAATTTGATTATAAGAATTATAGTACGGTTACTACAATCAATAGGTGAAAAATATTATTTTTTCCGTGAATAAATTTTCTCAAGTGAATTCTACTACTGTACTTTCCCTCATATTCAAGTCTATTTGCTTTCCCCTACACGTAAATGGCACGATTGCGATTATTATCAAATAAGTTAAATAGCAAAATTATTTGATGTGGCAGATTTTGTCTGAGGAAAAGGATTAAGAGTTGTGACAATTAATATATGTTTCTTCCACGCAGTTTGCATGTTTGCTCTTGACAATCCTGATCATACAAGTGGCAATTTCAATCTTCGTATTCGTCGTAGTGAAAAATTCCGGCGAGATTGACTTTAGGAAAATATACACGGAAAACGTCTTCATGAAGTACGGTACAAGTCAGGAGCAAAGGAACTTTGTAAATACCATACAGGAAGGGGTAAGATTTTTTAGAATGCATTTAATATGTCTTTATGTACAATGACATATTACTGTCATGTGAATCAAAGTCTTATCTTAATAGAATATAAATGATTACATACCTGGAATAATTAAATATAACATTGAATTTACAATACGTCTAACACCTTCGAGAGGAATTCACACAATGTCTCCCTGGTAGTAAAATTTTAATGAAATTTCGATGAACGATGATGTTTTATTAAATTTGATTAAATTTTAATAATTATATAACAAAATTTTAATTATACTTTGCTGAGAAAATGATTCTCTGTTTAATGAAAAATAAATAACATTTTAATGAGAATTCAATAAATGAAATTTCAATGAAAAATTACTAATTTTGTTTAATGAAAAAGTGAGAAAATTGTATTAAAATTGCAATAACTTTTTGATAAAACTATAACGAAAAAATTTCAAATAGTTTGTAATGACAAATTAGAGATATCCTGTTGAAATTGTAATGAATTTTTAATGAAATGAAGTTACCACGAAAAAGTGTAGTACCCAGTAAAAAAT